ATCAGCCAAGGGAACTTGTGAGTCTTTATGTAAAGATGCCTTCCTTACCAACATTAACATTCAAGTGATGCTTTCTGAATCATTTCCTAGTGTATTTTCAAGACCTGACTCCATTCGATGATTCCCAAATTGCTCCAAACCCTTGTGTCCCTTCTTACGCCCCCAAGCCCACCATGTACCCCGCTCAGCTTGTTGGAGCCCAGGAGATGGTGTTTTCAGGGGCTCCGCCTCTCCCTGGGGCCAGCAGAAACTGCCTGACCGGGGGCGGCGGGGGCGCTGCGGTGGCTGGGGCCAGGCGAAGAGCTGCGGGAGGCCCACTCTCAGCCCCGCAGGGCTCACTGACGCAGGTTCAGTGTAAAGGGAAGATAAGCATCTTCCCTAAAAATCACATTCACGCCCATCGTTTCTGGGACTGTAAAGACGTTATTCTTCATGTTATCTTCTCAACTGACCTTAAAAAGATATGAAGTCATAGGTCTCTCAGAAACATTTTTTTTCCATTTAAAATTAAGTTTATTGGGGGTAAATTGGTTAATATTACATACATTTTAGCTGGACAGTTTGATAATGTGGCTATACCCTTGTGTGCTCACCACAAAGTCTGATCTCCTTCCATCGCCGTGCACGTGGCGCTGTGATCCTCCCTCCTCCTCTGGCAGCCACCATTCTGTTGTGTCTCTGAGGTTTGCTGTTTGGTTGTGTAACCCACACACAAGTGAAATCACATGGTTCTTGTTCTTTTCTGATGTATTTCACTTAGCACAGTAATCTCGAGATCCCTCCATGTTCTCACAAAAAAATTCATCTTTTTTATGGCTGAGTAGTATCCCACTGCATATATGAAACGCATCTCTGTTATCCAACCAACCGTTGAAGGACACGTGGATTGTTTGCATGCCTTGGCTATTGTGAATAATGCTGCAATGAACAAAGGGGTGCATATGTCTTTGTGAATAAGTGTAGAAAACCATCTACATATCTGAACTATCTCCATCATCGGTGGGACAGGGGGTGTCCCTGTATTGGAGGGCGCTCCTGGGAGGACCACCTGCCAAGTACGAGGGCAGCAGGACAGGCCAGAGGAGGTGCCTGAACCATGATGCCGTTGCCAGAGGAAGTGGCCAACTCCATGAGGAACTCGGAAGTTGGGGCGGCCCTTCAGATACTCTAAACTGGGGCACGGAAGCTGGGCTGTGTGCCCCCCTCACTGACTGCACTTCCCGGGGGAGGGACTCAGCTGTGGGGGGAACGTCTCGGAAAGCGGGGTCGGGGGTTGGGCAGTGTGCCACAACACCCACCGACCCCTCATCTGCCCACTAACAGTGAGGCCAACATTATTTTAAATTGTTTTTTTCTATAGTACATCTCCTTCACATCATACAGCAATCTGATATTTTTTCCCCCTCAAGCACAACTGATACTCATTTCAGATGCTTTTTCTTTTAATCTTCCAGGACGGACAAAGATACGCACACTTTAATGGACAGAAGCATCATTCAGAGTTTATTGAAAGTATAGCTTCCCAGGCCCCACTCCAGAGCTTGGGTCAGACCCAGAGATGCAAAATTCTAACCCCCACCCCCATCAATGCTGCTGCGGGTGGTCCTTGGACCATTGTTAGAAGGACTGCTTAGGGCTTGTCTGTTATCTACTGGAAGCAATTGCATAAAATCCAGGAATAATTAAGTGTACAGAAATAGCTCTTCTATAAAATTTCCGTATAAAAATAATGGTATTTATTTACAAAGTTTGAGATGCTACAAAATAATACATTGTATTCGGTTAGGTACTCCAATCTCATAAAGTCTACATCAGGCAAGTCAGATGTGGTGTTTGCATTTCATTTTCCCCTTATTTAAACTGCTTAGAGTATGTGGCACCATGGTTTCCTTCATGCAGAAAAAAGGAATCATATCTTCTGGAAATAAAACCTAACAGCACATGATCAGAGTAAAGTATCTCCAAATGAACAGGTGAGCCAAGAGGTGATTGGAGCTCACAGCCTTTTGCTTTTTCATCTAAAAGTCAAGTGTGACGGTGGTGCACAAAATACTCCGAGGAACTCAGTAGTGAGCCGTGTCCTCAGAACGCGGGCCTCCTGAGCAGATGTACAGGCGGCCAGTTGGCAGCTCCATTTTCCAGGACACGGGGAGGCTGGCCCTGCCATGGTCCTACTGGGACAGAGAGAGCTGCAACTGCTCGGAAGTGTTTTAGCAGAGAAGTCCTCAGAGACCTTTTAGTATGACAATGAATCTGACTTTAGTCATGAACAAGCAAAAATTAGGCCATTTGTCATTAGACCATGCCAGGCACGTGAAGATGGCACAAGGAATTGACAAAATGATTGGTTTTAAAACCCAAACATAATCTGAGGACGTTTCCTTGTGGAGACAGACAGGAACAGAGACAAGTCAATGTGGTAGAGAAGTGTAGCTGGTAATTCACCTCAAGCCCCTTCCCAACGACCAGCAGGCATGACAGTCTTTGCCCATGGAGCAGCTTCTTCCCGGATGTGACTGTCTAAACCCAGGGTGTTCTGAGTTCAGAGAGGCCATGACACCGCAGCCTCATGAGCAAAGTCCCACCTCCACTCTTGGCTGTTGAGCACTGGGTGTAACCCGGCCGGTGCTAATCCCAAAGCCATCTACACGGAAGGACCGCGGGGAGGGCGTGGCTTCAGGAGGCAAAGTGGTGCCCCCGGGAGGAGGGATTTCCTGGTTGGGGGTGCAGACCCTGCCGCACAGGCTAAGGGATGTTAGACAAGTGATGTCGTAATGAGCGGGATGGAGAGATGTTCTCTCCCCTTCTGAGGCCCTTGGTGGGGGAGGGGGGAGTCTTGCCTCCAGGATTCAGCCAAGGTGACTCCCAATGCAGCTAATAAGCAGGGAGCCCAAAGCAGGATCTGCCGGAATAGCAAGGGGTCAAGATAACATTGAATCCCATAGCCTTTTGTAAAGCAAAGGCCATGTAACAGTGAGTTTACCCCGCCTGAGAGAACCACAGCACAAAATAGAAGCAAGCAGCCGACCTTCTCCTGTACCCACAACACGGTGAGTGGACCTGCTCCCAGTTAAGCATCTACTTGCCGGGAATTCCCAGGGCGCAACTGAGGGTCAACTTTGCATCCCCTTTTTCTTCTTTAGCATTGTGTGCACGCAGAGGTATGTGGAAAACTGGATCCCAAAGGTTACCCAAGCATAATTTTTAGATATCTTGGTTGTGTAAAGGGGCTAATTCCTGAGAAATAGTATAATCCATAGGAATATTTAGCCCAATTTTTTTAAAGGTAATTACACTTTTAGGCAAACATCAGACTTTTTCCTTTAGTGTTTGGCATGAGTGGAAGGTAAACTAACTGAACACTGTATGGTAAACAGAGGGCGGGGAGGCACGCTTCTGAGGGTCCCTCCAACGGCTCCGTGCAGCCCCGGCACACGCGATGGACTTGAGGGTCTCCGTACATCTGTGTGGATGCTTATCAGTGCTTGGGAGGCATTGCTTTGGGTGCGTGAAAATGGGGAGACTACTTGGGAAAATGATCTTTATGTGGCCTTTAGTCCCACTGACATCAGTATATAAGCAGAATAAAAGATGACCCTTTAGATGTCTAATGTAAAAAGTAGATATTTATGTATCTGATAAGTTGTCAAACTAGAAAAAAACACCTTAAAAAGTGATTGCATTTCCACCTTTCGATTGGAAGGTGACGAAGTGGATAATGAGAATGTCATGGATTAAATCTTCTCTTGGCTTATGGATACTGCTGGTGGCTAAGCCTGGTTTTCTTTTAAATACTAAACATTGTTTAACAGACTCTCAAATGTATGCCTCACAACCGGAACAGCATGGCCATGGCAATTCAGCAGAGGTTCCAAGTGCTTGCTGCAGGGCTGTGTGGCGTGGTCGGATCCTACAGACATGTCTTTCAACGGTCTGATTCAGGACCGATGTCCCTTTCTCCAGGAGGACTTCCCTGGCCACCCCCAGCCATTGCCCATTGTCCCACTACCCTGACGTGTTTTTTTCCATAGTGCGAATCAACTTTAACGTTTTCTGCTCTCTATTCACTCAAATACTTACTGAAGGACGAGACCTTTATTTACATTCACTGCCAAGGCAGCAGTCTTACGCCCACCTCAGGTTTTCTGGGGTGTGGACATGCTGCTTTTGTATGCTTAGGGGACGGCGCTAGTCACTTAAAGGGCCCTTGAGCTGAAACACTGACAAAGCAAAACAGGGTGCCTTCTCTGTGTGGCTAAGGTAGAAACGGCCGAGGTACTCCCCTACTTCGGCCAACCCTGTCCCCGGGAACGCCCACCTGCACTGCGCTCTGACCGCCCCAGGCACCTAAGTCACAACTGCGCTTGGAGCGACTTTGCTGCCTCCGTGACCCAAGTAGCCAAGAGCTGTGGTTTAGCAAACAGCCGGCAGTCTGCCTGGCAGTACCGACCCCTCTTCTGTGAAACATCTGTTTGAATGATCAGATGGGGGGGCACTAACTTGTTTGAGGACTGACCCTGGCATTATTTTTCAAGTACGGCAGTGTGCCTGCCACTGTGACCCTCGCTGATGAGGGGAGTTACCCTCTTGATCCTGTTAAATGGCAGAAGCCACACCAAGTTTTCTGCCCACCACTTTATATTATATAGGATTAAATCGAAGGGAACAAAACATGTGGGCACCCTTTGTCAAGTTTCCGAGGGCCAGCGGGCACCGAGGTGAAGGAATCCCGTTAGCGGCTCCTTTCCTGCCGCCGCGCCACGGCCCCCGGGGTCAGGCAGTGGATGCCCGCGCTTACTGACGGTGCTTTCATCACCTTGTCACCGCGTGAGAAGAGTTAAGTGGAAAAGATTCACGGAGGGGAAGGGTGAGGAGAAAGAAGCTGGGGCGGGTGCCTGGGTGCTTTAAGCACTGCCTCACCCACGGAAGGGCCACACGGGGGGACGGGGACTAACGGAGCGGAACCTACTGGTTGAATGACACTGTGCACTTGAAGGTGTAACAGTAACCTGACCCTCAAGGGGAAAAAGTCCTTTGGAACTCCCCGCACATCAGTGTGACCCGCACCCCTGGGAGGGGTGCCCATGCGTGCACAGCTGTGCACACATAACCCCAGGGGACCTCCCGTGAAGGTGCCTGGATGTTGGAACCACAATTTCCTAATTTTTTTTTCACTTTAATTTCCATACAAAATTGTGCCTGAGTGCTGAAATTTAGGCCCCGATGATCTGTTTAGGGGAGATGTAGAAGGATGACCGAATGTATCTTTCTAAACATCTCAGCCTAGCTTTCTGCTCAGGTAAGGCTTTATTCACACCAGCAACATGTCCTGATGACCACGGGGGGGACTCTAGCAGATGTCCGCAGCTGTGACCCAAAAACATTACTGAGGAACAAGGGCCATTTCCGGTCCAACAGCACACAGCTATGGCTGGGGTGGCCAATGACGGGGCACCAACAATAATGAGTCTTTGGTTGCTTTTTCTTTTCAACCTATATTTTATCAATTTAAAGCACTATAGCAGCAGTAGCAGAAGAGAAGAGAAAAGAGAAGAGGGAAGAGAGCAGTTTCCCAAAAACTCTAGCAAGGATTTTGCAGTTTGGTGGAGCACAGGTTATGATTAATGTTCCTGTCATGAATGTTGATGTGCAGATCTTGGGACCTGGAGCGCAATGCTTTGAAGACTAAAAAGCTAGCCTGCCCCTTGGTCTCTCGAGGTCCCTGCTAGGCGCCCTTCAAGACAGAGATGAGGAAGGCGGGGCTTAGTAAAGGAGGCGGCAGATTTTCAAAGGAGAGCTGGGAAGGAAGCCCGGCTTTACCTGCCGGCAGCCGCCGATCTTCCAGCCAGGGTTTCCCAGAGGCCCATGAGCACCTGCTGCGGCCTTTGCAGCCTCAGACTTCCCCCGTCTGGGCCCAGCCTAAGACACCTGCCCCAGCACCCAGGCGGAGAATTCTCTAAAACCCGCCTCCATCTCTCTGCCCCCGGAACACTCTGAGCCTACACTATGGCTTATTTCTGACAGAATGAGTTTTGTCTCTTTTATTAAAGTCATATGTTTTTGTGTATACATTTCCATGGCCTAGGCAGACTGACGCCAGCCGGTCTGTGGAAAGGCAGCGCAAGGCACCTGCACTTAGAAAAGGGCTGATTTAGGCTGAGTGCCCCACAGGTGCTAGACGCATAATCTAGGGGCAGATCCAAATGATTCAAGACAAAGATGCAGAATTAATTTTCCATTATTATTTGCTCCTTTTTCAAGGCCTCAATGTGAAATTAAGCTGGGGTGTGGCCACCGTGGCAGATGTCTCTACACTGCGCTCCTCAGAGGAGCAGGCGCTGTGAACACACCAGCGCAGGGTCCCCGGGGGCCTCTCTGGCTGTGAGATAACACACGAGCTACTGCACTACCATGAACAGACCATCCGGAGAGTTCACCGTTGTTTCTGTGAAACGCTATATCAAGTTAGTTTGAAATGCAATTTACCCAGGAATAAACTCAATAAAGTCATTTTGATGAATGAAAATGTATAAAAGGTGACATGTATAGGAAAACATTGCTGTTCATATTTTGGAAATAGACTTTTCTTTTAAAAGTAATGACATTTGGTTCATTTTCATCAGTTGCACACTGGGTGAAATCACACAATGACTGCGGGGAACTGTAAGCAAGCAATCCAGTCAAAGGGGTTTGTTTCTTTGAGTGAAAACGCTGTATGAAATGCATAGCTTTGACTCAACCTATAGACACCATTTCCTTCTCTGTAAAACTCCAGATTTAGAACGCTGGCAAAAGGCAGTGCTGGCAAAGTATTTAATGCACGTGGAAATGCTATTCTATTTTGGCTTCCAGAAGTAGCCCTAAAAAATTCTATGCACCAATGCATTGGCTAATAATGATCATTTCAGTTTTACTATAAATTATTCTAAGTGTCACTTAAGTACTTAAGAATTAGCGCTCGCTCCTTTCTAGAAGCCGTCTAAGGCAGCGGATGCGTGAAGCACCTCAACTAGACCTCCCACCAGCTCCGCCGTTCAGTCCGGACCCCTCAGGCCACAGGATGGCCTCTCCATCCGCCACCATACAACTCGCCCCCGCCGGGGGCCTTCCGTGCTCACCTGTGCCTTGTGAGGGGGAGGAACATGGTCACTGAGGACTGTCCGTTGCAGCGATCGCAGGTCTGAGGAGGGCTACATGGGTGTGGGGGACAGAGAGATCCCACCTCAGGGAAGATAAACGGGCTTCACTCATGCTGCCCAGTTCTCCCGGGACTGTCCCTGCGGTCACCTCAGAAAGCTTGCTTTGTTTGAGAGGCGGCCTACTGCTCTGTCGTTCAGAGTTTTCATTCACACTACGTTACCTTTCATCTCAATCGTGTCGGCCTGCGTGTAATTCGCTTATTGTGTTTCCCTAGTTTTCACTGGACACACAGTGCAGACAAAGGCAAGGGCTGAAGCAATCATTTCAAAACAAGAGCTCACACTAAAAACACACATGAGCATCAAACATTAAAACGTGGGTTTCGTCCTGTCTTTATTCCGGGGAGGAAGAATCCTCCTCCTCTTCTTCCTCATCTTCGTCGTTGAATGAGCAGGGGGTCTCGCCTCGGGACTCGGAGCAGTGAGAGGCTGCACTGCTGGACTGGTGACTGTTTGGGGCAAGGAACTGCCCGGTTGCTAAGGCCACTTCCGCATCCAAGCACAACCCCTGGTTTACACTAGCAAACAATTAAAAACACACAGGCTCGTTAATGTGGCGTACATTTTCAGCTCGTAAAATACAGGACTAAAGCATGGGAAAGGAGGCCCCACTGGCGAGCCCTGCCCGAACCTGCTGGGGCGTGTGCGGGCAGCAACACGCCGGCTCGCCCTCCGAGAGGGGCAAGGCTCCATGGCTGGCCTTGGTGACTCTGAGAAAGTACGTACCTTGACTGGGACAAGGTGGCCCCAGTGGTCAGGTCTAAATTCGAAACTGATTGGGTCGAGTTCAGCAGTAGTCCCTGATTTAACCAAGAAGGTCCTGTGGAGATATCTACAGGAAGAAACAAAAACAGAAGGTGTCAGCTCTGTAAGTCCAGCAGCTGCCACTGTTACAGTGCGAGGAACGCGGACAAGCGAGGGCACAGGCCTGTTCCACAGCAGTTAGACACATTTCCAGCCCTGGGAAGAGCCCAGGTTTCTTCAGCTTGGGGAAAAGAAATTTCTAAAACATAAGAGCAGGGAAAAAATCTATGTAGGGAGGCAGACTACAGCAAGAAAAAATTCAAATTAAACCCACTGCAGACTCTCATTCTGTTTTCTGAAATAAGACCTCACGGGGGCAGCTCACAGAGGATGGCAATCGCTGCACTATCCTGGGCACCTGCTGTCCTTACCACAAAGCACTCCAGACGCCGATGGTGTTAACAGCCAGGCTGGGGCGGGTAAAGAGAAAGTCCCATCAGAAATATCGCAGGTGTACAGGACAGACACAGTTTTGCCCAAACCCCTGCTGCATCATCTTTTCAAATACCTCCTGGTGAACTCAGTGGTATTAATCATCAAAGACCTATTCCTTCTGCCCTGGCTGGTGTGGCTCAGTGGACTGAGTGCTAGACTGCGAACCAAAAGGTTGCTGGTTTAATTTCAAGTCAGGGCACATGCCTGGGTTGTGGGCCAGGTCCCCAGTAGGGGGCACGCAAGAGGCAACCACACATTGATGTTTCTCTCCCTTTCTTTCTCCCTCCCTTCCCCTCTGTCTAAAAATAAATAAATGAAATATTAATAAAAAAGAAATCTATTCCTTCTCCTGGTATCTTTGGCTTATAACTCAAACTAGCCCTTATTTTAAAAGGTCTTAAGCAGTCATGCTTTTAATGAGGGTAAGATAGGCATTACTGTTCAGTCCGCATGAAATATTTAGGGTGTGTCCTTTCAATTTATTTTCTGTGCGTATACCGTATTTCTCCTAGATCAATTCTTATTGTAATTATATTTGTTTAATACCTGCTCCTTATCTAGAATGTGAGCTCAGAGAGGGCAGTGATGGGAACACATAAGGTGTCAATGTTACTGAATGAATGAGTACAGTCTCTTTCAATGGTGAGTTTACAAAGTAGGTGACGTGTGCGTGTGTATCGAAGAAAATACATTCCTAAAAAGAAATTCTCTGAACTATATTATAAGATCAAACATACACCAGAAAATGTAATTCACCAAAATGAGCTTTTATTATATTGAATCAAATCGTTTTTAAAATTTTTTTGAGAGGCGAAGGGAGGGAGAAAGGGAGCGAGAGAAACATTGATGTGCAAGAGATTCATCAACAGGTTGCCTCTCACATGCCGCCTACAGGGGACCTGTCCCACAACCCAGGCATGTGCCCTGACTGGAAATCGAACCCGCAACCTTTTGGTTTGCAGGCTCTATGGAGCCACACAGGGCCACACAGGGCCCTATATTTTTTTTAAAAAAGATTTCACTTATTTATTTTTAGAGAGCAGGAGAAAGAAGGAGAGAAACATTGAAGCGCTGCCCCTTGTATGTGCCGCAACCAGGGACTGAACCTGCAACCCAGGCATGTGCCGTGACTGAGACTCAAACCAGCGACTTTCACTTTGCAGGATGACGCCCAACTAACTGGGCCACATTTTTTAGAGCAATCAAAACAGTTTTATAATTACTGTGCAAAAAATACAAAACTATGTGTGTTGGGATTGGAAACTCTGCTCTCCAGGCTCCGTCTGACCAAGTGAGAGGCATCCTGTGCAGGAAGAAAATAAACTAAATGTCTACATTGATTTTAGAATGGCCTTGAGAAGCTTTTTCTTTACAGCTAACTAAGGTAGCTGTAAAAAAAAAAGAGCTTCAACTCTAAGAATAGCAGACTTTAAGAAACATTAAATAACAAGACTGTACATGATAAAATTAAAGCCAGAATCCTGTGCTGAATATTAATCAGTATATATGGACGCTTTGTCAGAGCACAGCTATTTATTTGTTTGTGAGCAGGACACATTAAATTTTCTTTTTAGAATGGCCTTGAAAAGCCCAAGTTTCTTTCACATTATCCCAGAAACCACACAATGGTCCTCACCATCTTATTCAAGAGCTCCTCTGTCCCTTTGCACACTAAAGGCATACGTTTCTTATTTTGAACTAACCAGAAAGTCTGTACCCCAGGCAGCCAATGAGGTAAAAACCACAGAGACTGCCTCATCACCCTGAGCTTCTACCGAGAACAGGATGAGATAGAGACGCAGTGATTTATTGAGTGAGTTCTTTCCCCAGGCCCTGCTGGACTGCCATCAATGCGCAGGCCCTGCTCCGGGACAGCAGGGAGGGCGGCGGGGCGGGGCGGGGCGGGCACGGGCCGCGGGGCAAACAGGGTTGAATTGGCAGGAGGTGATTGACGCCAATTTAAGAACTAAATTCAAAAGAAGCCAATCTCATTCAACACTTGTGTTGTGACCAAAGGGCATAAAACAAAACTAAATAAAAACTTCTTTGCTTATATGTGATTTAACATACCTTAGAATTTATTAAAATGTCTTTAACAAGTGATGTGAAATTCTAGGTGGTGATACTTACAAGGAAGGAAACTGCCCAAAGCAAAGGCAGAAGCACTGTTTCTACACCCAAATTCTATGTGCAGAATATGTCATAATCTTAGTAATTCGGACAATCATGGAGATTTCTGAATTAGTGAAAAAAAATCTGAATTATAGAACATATGAAACATAGCGGTTTTGTTTTCAAGTATACTCAGTATACTCTTACAACTCATGATAAAAAGACAAAGAAACTCCAATTTAAAAATGAGCAAAGGATCTGAGGAGACATTCTCCAAAGACATACAAATGGCCAAAAAGCACATGAGAAGATACTCAAATCATTAGTCACTAGGGAAATAAAAATTAAAGCCACAGTGAAATACTAAATCTACTAGGACAGCAATAATAGAAAAGGTGGAAAATAACAAGTGTTTAGAAGGATGGGGGAAAACTGAAACCCTCATCCATTGCCGGTAGGATTGTAAAACGGCACAACTACTTTGGAAAATAGTTTGGCAGATCCTCAAAATGTTAAATATAAAGTTACCACATGATTCATCAGTTCCACTCCTAGGTACCTACCAAACAGAACCGAAAACTTACATTCACACAAAAACCTGTACAAGAATGTTTATAGTAGCATCATACATAAAAGCCAAAAAGTGGAAACAATCCAAATGTCCCCCAAGTAATGGATAAGCAAAATGTGGTCTATCCATACAATGGCAATAAAAAGGGATGAAGCAGGGACGGGCCTTGGAAACATTACGCTAAATAAACGCAGTCAGTCACAGAGGCCACATATTGTAGGAGTCCATTTATATGAACTGTCCAGAATGGACAAATCCCCCGGGACAGAAAGTAGAGTAGTGGCTGCCAAAAGCTGGGAGGGGGGCGGGGGGCGCGGGCCGGGCCAGGGAGTCATTGCTAGTTTATATGAAATTTCTTTAGGGGGTCATAAAAATGTTTTAGAATTAGTGGTGATGATAGCACAACCTTGTGACTTTACTAAGAACCACTGAATTACACACTTAAAAACGGTCTGTTTTATGGTGCGTTAATTAAATTTCAATTAAAAAAAATTACAATACCACTTCAACATCCACCTGGCTGGGAAAAATAGAACACGTCCCCTCTGCAGGTGAGAGCGTAACTTGCCAGAAACAAACAGAAATTCTGGCATCGCCTGGTCCAGCTGAAGGTGCGCCTGCCTCTGACCCCGCAATGTCGCGGTTCACGCCCACACACGATCGCTAGGATGTAATTACAGGAATGTTCAAAGCAGCTCTGCTTTTTAGTATTAAGGAATTGGAAACAAAACTAAAGGTTTATCATTAGTACAATGAACGAAGAAGTTGTGAGATTTTCACATAATGGAATTCTATACAGCAGTAAAAAAGTATGAATTACAGCTACATTAAATCGCATGGGTAAATCTAAAGAACATACTGCTGAGTTAAAAAAAAAATCAAATCACAAAAAGATATATCACTATGATTCCATTTATATCAAGGTCAGGGGCAGGCAAAACTAAAGTGCTTCCAGTTTACATTGTGTTTGTATCTTCGAGAAAAGCACGTGATAACACACAAGAAAGAATGAGGACGGCGCCCGTGAAGCAGCAGGAAAGGGTTCAGGACGGGGGGCGGGCACGCAGTGGACCTGAACGGATTTTCTACGAGAAAAGGAGAAAGGGTTTAACATGTGGCAGGGGCGTCCAACCCACGGCCTGTGGGCCACTTGGGGCCCAGGGTGGCTATGACTGCAGCCCAATACAAAATTGTAAATGTACTTAAAACATTATGAGTTTGTTAAAGTACATTTTAAAAAATGATTTTATTTATTTATTTTTAGTGAGGGGGGAAGGGAGGGAGAAAGAGAGAGAGAGAGAGAGAGAGAAACAACAACGTGTGGCTGCCTCTTGCGCACCCCCTCCTGGGGACCCGGCCCGCAACCCAGGCCTGTGTCAAAGGGAACTGGTAACCCTTTGGTTAGCAGGCCGGCACTCAGTCACTAAGCCACACCAGCCAGGGCCACTATGAGATATTTTTGTGATTATGTGTTGCAATGTATATAATGCATGGCCCAAGACATCTCTTCTTCCAGCGTGGCCCAGAGACGCCAGAAGGTTGGACACCCCTGTTTGGGGTTTGACATTAACCAGGGACAGCGTGTGAAAGCATCAGTTACCGTACCTGTGATGTAGCCTTCTAAAGCCTTTGGCACCAGTGATTTAGCAAGTTTCAGGTCCTCCAGCGAGCATTTGCCTGACTCTAGGCCAAAGGACATTCCCATCCGCTTCAGTACTTCGATGTCATCGTGGATCTCAAAGGTGTTGTCAAAATTGAAAAGATACTCAAACCTGCATCAGGAAACAAAGTTGGTATGGGGTTTTCCTTAATGTTGGGGAGTCTGAAGAGTTTTATACTCTCTATATATTACATAGACGAATGCTATGTTCAGTTATGGTACTAGGAATTGTCATCATTTACAGCAGTAAGGGTTGTTCTGCTGTACTCAGGAGATGACATCTCGAATACACCATTTTCCTAATTAAAACAATTTTCCTGTGACAGACGAAAGGAGTCCATAAACCTCAGCCCTCATTAAACTATGGCAAACTGGAGAAAAAAAATTCTCATCTAAATCCAAAACTTTTCAAAGTTGTCTGCAACTTTGTTACAAAAAATAAAACATGAAGAAAGCCTTCCAGTTTAATACAACCCTACTATAAGTTGGCCTATTAGGATTGAAGAGAAAACATTCTGGATGCTTATTTCCTTATTTTCATGAGTCAAGTGTTAGCTATAGCTAATTAGGTATTAAGCAATAATGGAAAACTTTTCACAAATTAACCAATCCCCAAATCCTGCCTTGAGGGACTAAGAAGTAAAACGTCTTAAGAAAAATGTGTCACATACAACACATAGCGTATTTCCAAATGTTCTTGAAAAATACCCAATCAGGATGCCCATCTACCCAGCACAAGCTTTCAGTAAAGAGGCAAATGTAGGAAGAAACAGTCCCTTCTGACATCTAGGCTAGGCCCTGGGGTACTACCCCCCACAGGCCTCAGACCTACAGGGACAGAGCAACGCTGAATATTCTGGGACAATGGTGGGTTTATGGAGCAGCGAAATTCTGTTTTTTTAAAAAAAGATTTTATTTATTTTTAGAGAGAGGGGAAGGAAGGGAGAAAGAGAGGGAGAGAAACATTGATGTGAGAAACACCAGTTGGCGCCTCTTGCATGCGGCCCACCAGGGGACCGAACCTGCAAGGCACGTGCCCCAGCTGGGAACTGAATAGGCGACCCTTTTGCCTTGTGGGACGATGCCCAACCAGCTGAGTCACACCAGTCAGGGTACAAAGTTATCTTTATTAAAATCAAGTCAGGGTAAAACTTTTTACGCTAGATCTTAGATAAAAGCAAAAATGATAATTTGAAGCAAAATGTCATATTTGTAATTAATTAAGTACATCAATACATTTTCAGAATAAAAGCAAATAAACAAAAATCTGAAGTGGGTGCCTTCCACAGAGATGATTTCAGATATACATTAAAAACAGATGGTCTGGTCCTGGCTAGGTAGCTCAGTTGGTTAGAGCATTGTCCCGATGTGCCAAGGTTGCAGGTTCAGTTCCCAGTCAGGGCACATAAAAAAAAAAAAAGATCAACCCATAAATGCATAAATAAGTGTAAAAACAAATCAATGTCTCTCCCTCTCTCTCTCTCAAAAAAACAACAACAACAACAAAAAAAAACACCATACAAAAAATTTTTAAAAAAGGCTAAGGGTTTTGTTAATTTAATCCTCATAGTGGGAAAGCTGCCTGGCCAAATTAAGGGGAAAAGATTGCAAAGTCTTAACTGAAAGATAAGGCTTTAGGACCTACCTTAAGTAACAAGCTCCTACAAGCTTCTCAGAGTCTCTCTCCCTCCCTCCACACAGGTGAGGGCGGGAAAGAGTATGAGTCAGTCACCACCTGAGGATGGAAACTTGACTAGATCCCAGCCAGCGGGGGAAGGGAATCTGCAAAGCCCTTAGGTAAACGACCTCTAGACTTCCTGTGACCCCTTTTAGACTTAGAAAACTAACCAAAGATGAGAATATAATAGTTTCCCACAAAACAAGAGACTAAATACAGAGAGTACTTAGAATTCTAATAGGTATTTTTCTGGAAAATACGTTCATTATTCTCTAGACTTGTCAGTTTTAATGTTAGTTCTTTTAGATAAAGTTTTTTGTAAAGAATTTGCAAGTGCGTGAAGGACAATACAGACATCTACTATTTACTGACCACTGGGCTGGGCCTTTGGGAATATATTTATAACTTTTGTAAACTAGCAACTTAAATACTGTAATTTGTGTTTTTATAAAGGAGGGAATTAGATCTTGGAGAGGTTAAGAAACTATACAGCTGGAGGAAACTATTTGGACATTCTGACTTCATAGCCTACGGCAGTCTCTACTATTTCTCACCGTGTCTAAGGTCTTAATTACCAAATACTTTTGAAATCCCTGCTCACTACTGTTCTTCTTCTTTGTTTCCTGGGTGACTTCTCACTTAAGTGACCCAGAATCTCTGTATGCAGTCAAGACGCAGGAGGCAGCACTGCCAGAGAAAAAGCAGGGAGCAGCAGGGGACAGCGAAGCCCGAGGGCCATGCTGTGGCTCTAAGGAGATGGAAGTTCTGGTCCCTGAACAGGCCCAGGCTCGGCCTCTGGTACTTGTGTCATTGTTGAGCTCTCTTTTGCTTGCAAATATGTCCCAAACTGTTCGATATATTTTACGCCAACCCTTTATAACAGCCTTTGACATTTATAAAGCGTTTGCTTGAATCCAACTTCACAGGCATTCTCTCAATTAATCCTCACCACAAGGCCAGGAAGCGACAAGGCCCTGGTGTCACCCCCGTTTGTTCTTCAGAAAACAGAGCTTTGGAGCAGCACGTGGGGCAGCCGTGACCCACCCCCGGGTCTGCCTCACTGCCACCCTAGGCCCTTAACTATCTCACTGTACTGGCCACAGCCGGCAGACCAATGATATCGACTATTTTCATGAAGGGTAAAATAAATTACACATTAATTGTTTCGAAAACTGCTCCTTTGCATTTGCTGTGATGAACATTACCATCAATCTTAGTTAAAATGTAAAAATACGTTGGTGGGATTGTAAATTGGTACAGGTACTACTACAGAATGGAGGTTCCTTATAAAATTAAACATAGAACTACCATTTGATGCAGCAATTCCACTTCTGGGAATATATGCAAAGGAAATGACTGTTTTGAAAAGATATGCGCATCCCTGTGCTCACTGCAGCGCTACTCACAAGGCCACGGCTATGGTATGAAAATAACCTAAGTGCCCATGGATGGACGAATGGATAAAGGCTATGGTAAGAAAATAACCTAAGTGCCCATGGATGGACGAATGGATAAAGGCTATGGTAGGAAAATAACCTAAGTGCCCATGGATGGACGAATGGATAAAGACAATGAGGTGCGTATACAACGAAACACTCAGCCACAAAAAGGAGGAGGAAACTCTGCCCTTTGTGGCGACATGGATGGACCCTGGGGGCATCGTGCTAAGTGAGAGCAATCAAATACCGAACAGCCTCACTCATGTGTGGAACCTAAGAAAACCGAACTCACCGATACAGAGAATAGTTTGGTGGTTGCCAGAGAGGAGGGGGTGAGCGAAACAGGGGAAGGTGGTCAAAAATATTAACTTCCAGTTATAAGATACGTTTAAAAAAAGAGAGAGAGACTGCATCTAACAGAGAATGCATCTAGCATTTTCATATCCATTCGGCCATCAATAGACAGAAGCACACTCAACTATGATACAGCAAAACAGAGAAGTAGCTGCTTTAATGCCACATGTTGATCCGAAATAACCTCCACAGCAAACTATGGCAGGGAGTCACCAGCGAGCCTGCCTTGTGCCAGGCCCTCACCGATGGCCCGCCTCACTGCAGGCAGCTGCCCACAGTTACACCGCGTGTGTGTACACACACTCACATCCTGGTCTGGGTCCAGACACTACCCTGCAGGTGACAGGCCGCAGCACAGCGCCAGGTGAGACAGGGGGCTGGGGCGGGGGGCGGGGGAGGAGTGGTGGCGCACACACCGGACCGACGCTGACAGCACCTCAGGCTGGAAAAGGCGCTTCACAGGCCCCACCCCAGGAAGCCGGCCTGGGAGGGCTCAGATGGTGGAGTGCGCCCTCCTTGATTTTGCAAATGACAGGAAGCTGTTAACAGAGGCCCAGCCTGCAGTCTTCCCCCAGCTCTGCACTCACTTGTCGCTGGAGATGCTGCAGTCTATGACTGTCTTCCTGCTCGTATTGATGATTATGAACGGCAGCTGAATGGTGGAGTTCAGAGCTGGCGGGCCCTGGTTCTGCTGTTCATTTTGCCGATTCCTCTGCACCAGGTTTTTGAAAGCAATTTGCTGTAAGGATCAATGAAAAGAATACAGTCATTTAACGTAGATAAGTGAGAGGTGAAATTAAAATATAGTTTAATTAGGAAGTTTAAAAGGGCTTCCAGCTATAAGTGAATTAAACGTTTAAGAAAAACTACTAGAATCCAACTCAATAAATATATTTCAAGAAAAAAAAATTACATTTAAGAGGTGTCTCACATCATCCCTATGTAAATACTGAGCCCCATGGTTCCCGTCATCCACAGAAACGAGATCTTACAGAGCTATCAGAGCCCGGGGCGCCTGCAGCTCTTCTCAGAGTGAGGGCCACGGTGAGGGCGATGCGCAGGGAGCTTGCATTTTCCATTTATCTAACAGACTCCCGAGAGGTTAGGGGTAAATACATCTTTTTATTTTTTTAACCCTCACCCAAGGACATTTTTTCATTGCCTTTAGAGACAGAAAGAGAGAGAGAGAGAGAGAGAGAGAGATGTAAGAGAAAAACATCCATTGGTTGCCTCCCATATGTGCCCCTACCAGGGCTCCAACCAACCAAGCCACACCGGCCAGCACAGGTTAAATACATCTTTTGGGTCTCTAGCCGAATGATATGCAAACTTTATAAAGCCAAAGAACCCTTTCCTCCGATGGGATCTTATGAGACACCCACTTTGTAAGACTGGAGAGTGCAGCGCTGCCTTGCTGGCGGCAGCGGGGCAGGTGTCCTGAGCCAGCCAGCTCTGCCCCCTTCACCCCTTAGGGTCCAGCGCAGGACCTCTAAGGGTCCTCGGGGCACAGTTTGGAATCTGGCCCAACCCTCTCGCCACCTGATATCTCTCAGATGAGGAAACTGAGGCTTGGCAGTGATGATAACATATATCATCACTGAATCTTTGTACTGAATCTTGCTATTTTTAGTTATAGCCCTAACTCAAGAGTCAAAGAAAATGACCTCCCTTTTATTATTATTTTTAATCTTCACCTGAGAATATGTTTATTGAATTCAGAGAAGGAGACAGAAGAGAGAAGGGGGCGGGGAGAGAAATATCAATGCGAGAGAAAAACATCAGTTGGTTATTTTCCCTATGTGCCCTGACCAGGGACTGAACCCACAACCTTTTGATGCATGGGACAATGTCTCACCAACTGAGCCACCAGGCCAGGGCACCGCCTAGCCCTGCCTTTAATAATGCAAATGTGTCAGATTTCCACAGCTAGAAAGACCTCACACAGTTCAAGTTTTTCATCTGCTCATGAAACAGATACTGGTTTCAAAAGCTCCTGGACTCAGAGCCATTCATTCCCTTTTACCAGCTGCTTCCATCTTCTCCTCCAGGACTGACGAATTTCAGTTTTTTTCTGTGGTTTAGCAAACTTATCCTAGAACTGTTTATTTTAGGTTCTGTGTCTTAACTAAAGTTTAAGATTATTATTACTTAAAATGGCTGGGCGCTATCTCCCTGGAAAGTGAACATTTACTCTCTTAAAATACATAAAACAGAAGGGACACCAATTTGTTGTAGCCCTAACAGTGTGTCCAAACATCACTATCAAAAAACTATCACTCGCAATGCCATTATCAAATATTACTTAAGTCATACTCCAGTATCTTCTGCTGTTAAAGAACAGGCAGACATTGCCTAATTCATTTAATAATGAGGGAAAACATGCTGAAACCATAAAAGAAACTGATTCTTTCACACATATGCAAAAGAACCATGTTTAAATACTTCTGCCTGGCCTCTCTTCCCTTCTAGTAGAAAAAGCGCCCGGGGGTGCTCTCGTACTTTGCCGAGCCTTGTGGCCACAGGGCCACACGAGGACCCTGATATAAGGGACTATAAGCAGTGATTAAGTTAGAGTTCCTACACGTTTATGAGTCACTGTGTCATATTATACACATTTAATAGCATCAGTGATTTTTCAGGGGAAGGGGAGCAGTAAAAACATATATTGAATAGAATGTTATTTTGATAGAAAAACAAAAATCCCCTCTGATTTGTTCTAGACTGATTTCCTTACTTGTTGCCCTTTAATTTTCCTTTCAGCCTTTTGTTCTTTTCCAGTCTCATTAACACCTATTTCAGAGGTTGAACAGCTTCAGGTTTGCTCGTGAGCTGCTCCAGACAAGGCTCAGGGGCTGGAAGTGCTCATTACACAGATGTAAGTAGGGTATCTGGGGGTTACCTGGAGGTATTACATACTCACGCCGTTCCTCTTCCACATTATTAAGAACGAAAAAGAGGTGGTAGCATGTAAGTAAAACTTACCTCTGCCATGGGATGTCAGTGAATTGTGACATTAACTGTTAAAAATTAAGCTAGCCTAGCGATGGCAAGTTATTAGTGTTTATGGACAACTTGTTTAATTTACTTTCTTTCTTTCTTTTTAGAGAGAGGGGAAGGGGGGAGATAAAGACAGAGAGAGAAATATCGATGTTCTAGAGAAACACCGATTGCTCACCTCTCACATGCCTCAACCAGGGACTAAACCTGCAACCCAGGCATGTGCCCAGACCAGGAATCGAACTGGCAACCTTTCAGTTAGCGGGACGACGCCCAACCCATTGACCTATACCCGTGAGGGCTGTTTAATTTACTTCCTATGACAATTTCATCAGTGTTGTTTGATGAAGGAAAGGAAAACAAACCTCTAGGAATAAATAAGTTATATGTCTACCAGAGAGGCAAAAGTTGTTTTCAGTTATACTTTGGATTTCATTTCAATAGAGAGACTTGTTTTTATAAATGTTGATAGCTAGGTTACCCGGGGTTGAAGTCCTCTATAAATATTTGGTTTGAGAGACCACAGAGGAACAGAAATTTAGGACTGAAAAAATACACACAAGAGCAATCCTGCTAGGCATCATTCTTTCTGATAAACAAATAATTACAAGTATACTGAGAAATATATTTTAAAAATAGCATGCCAAGCCCTGGTTGGGTAGCTCAGTTGGTCAGAGCATTGACTCAATACACGAAGGTTGCAGGTTTGATCCCCTATCAGGGCATGTATAAGAATCAACCAATGAGTACATAAATAAGTGACACATCTTAATTAGAATGTCAAAGGTTAAAGATAAAGAGAGAATCTTCAAAGCAGCAAGAGAAAAGCAGTTAGTTACCTACAGGGGAGCTCCCATAAGACTGTCAGCTGATTTCTCAAAAGGAACTTTGCAGGCTAGGAAGGACTGGCAAGGAATATTCAAAATGATGAAAAGCAAGGACCTACAGCCAAGATATCATTTGGAATTAAAGGGCAGATAAAGAGCTTTCCAGACAAGAAAAAACTAATGGAGTTCATCATCACCAAACCATTATTATTTGAATTGTTTTTTTCTCTTTTTTTAAAAAGATAAATGTGTTACTTTCAAAAAAGATTTTATTTATTTATTTTTAGAGAGGGGGAAGGAGGGAGAAAGAGAAGAAGAGAAACATCAATGTGTGGTTGCCTCTCAAGTACTCCCAACTGGGGACCTGGCCCACAACCCAGGCATGTGCCCTGAGTGGGAATTGAACTAGTGATCCTTTGGTTTGCAGTCCAGCGCTCAATCCACTGAGCCACACCAGCCAGGACTATTATATGAAATGTTAAAGGGACTTATTTAAGGAAAGGAAGAAGATCAAAAATATGAACAATAAAATGGCAATAAATACACATATATCAACAATTGAATCTAAAAAACAAACTAAGCAAACAAGAAGAACAGACAGAATCGTGGCCATGAAGAACATTTTGATGGTTGCCAGACGGGAGGGAGACCTGGGGAGGCCGGATGAAGTGAGGGGATTAAGAAGTACAAGTAGGTAGTTACAGACTAGCCACGGGGATGTAAAGTGCAGCACAGGAAATGGAGCAGCCAAAGAACTTATACGCATGACTCATGGACATGAACACTGGTGTAAGGATGGCCTGAGGGAGTGGGCGTGCAGGGTGGAGGCAGGGAAGGGGGGAAAATCGGGACACCTGTAATATCATAATCAATAAAGTGTAATTAAAAAATACATAAATAAACAGAACGACAAATCAATGTTTTCCTCTCTTACCGCTATCTTTCTCTCTAAAAAATCAATAAAAATAAAATAAAATAAAATAAAATAAAATAAAATAAAATAAAATAAAATGCGAAAAATCAAGCTCTGATATGTCCATGACACTTCTGAGGAAATCTGAGGAAGGCTTCGCACGGAGTTTAGGAGCCACGCGATAACAGAGCTGACTGTCCAGGGACAGGACAACAGAGAGGCGGCTGGGGGAAGAAGGTGACAGTGTAGGAGTCACAACGTGAGGGCCTGGTGGGCCAGCTCTACAAGAAGATAGGATTCTACCGGGAGGAGCTATAAGATTATGAATAAATGGTCGGCTTTCAAGGTCTTTTTTAAAGCTGCAGAACACTCTTCAAACAGTCTTATTCGAACATCTAACATGAAAAACACACAAAATGCCTCCTCCAGTGGTAGCTCCTCAGGTAGGTCCTCTGGGCTTCATTCAGTGTGAAAAGCAGACACAGAAGACAGAAAAGAAGAAATGCCCTAGTCGGGGAGGAACACCGTCTCTGGGGCTCCCTCTGTTTGGAAAGTCCCTGTTCAATCAGCGGCAACTCCTCTGCCAGGGCCCTGCCCTGCTCTGGGGTCAGACACGGATCCCTGGAAGGGCGAAACAGTCTTCTCTTGCCCCTCAGATTTATACGTGAATGGGAAAGAACACAAAAAACAAGCATAAGCATCTGGAAAGTGAAAAACAAAAATCTGGAATATTTAAGAATACTTAACATATTCTGTCCATTAGACAAAGTGAATATGTTAGGGAAAAAACCCTGCTATAATATTTAGTAACTTTCTGCTATCTTTATTTCTGATACATGGATCACACCAAAAATTTAATCCTACAGTTGCTTGGCCCTGGCCTGGTGGCTCAGCTGGTTGGAGCATTGTTCCATACACCAAAAGGCTGTAGGTTCGATTCCCGGTCAGGGTACAAACCTAGGTTTTGGGTTTGATCCTTGGTGGTCAGGGTGCACATGGGAGGCAATCAATCGATGTCTCTGTCTCTCTGTCCCTCCCTTCTCTTTCTCTCACTGTCTCTCTCCCTCTACCCCCTTCCTCTCTCTCTCTAAAGTCAATAAACACATCCTCAGGTGAGGATTAAATTTTACAGTTGCTCCAGTCAAGGTTGATTTTATGATTGGTTGAAAGCGTTTCAAAATAAAGACAATTTACTGATATAAAGCAAATGCATAAAGATTCTCAGACTCATTTTACAAAGCTTTTTTTGATTGGATTGAAAACAGCTCCACTGTATAGCTCAAAGTAAATTTGTACACCAATTACAATTACCAAAAGTAGAAAAAAGTCCTTCTACCCTGTGATTGTACCTCATGGAGTTTTATACAAAGGCTATATTATATTTTTTAAAAACCACCCAAATTCTAGGCAATTATCCAAAAGTATAAATATAAGGATTCTTATTACACCATAAAAGTTAATTTTAATTTAAACAGAAATGTGCTGGGAACCGTCCTGCCTGGTTTCAGGGACTGCAGCCTCACCGACAGGTGAGAGGGCCCCGAGGCTGGAGCTGAGCAAGGAGGCCTTGGGAAAATAGGCCACTGAGGAGACATAACCTATCTCCCTGGCAGGGGCCCAGCCCCTGCTTCCCTCACATCACCCTGCTTGGCCCCAGAGGATGACTGGTTAGTCAATAATGGGTAAGACCCCTCAATGGCAGGGGCAACCTAAGACAGGCACAGTCGCTTAGGGGTCATGAGGGAAGGACTTAGGGGGCATGGAGAAGGGGCAAAAGACCCTCACCCCTCAGCTTTGTCATGGCCAGAGTCCTCATTCCATCTGAAAGAAGTCTCCTCATCTCTTGGCTGCTCTGCTCCATGGCCTGACCGGGTCAGTGAAGCAGTACTAAAGGCATGCACAGCCCTAAACTGAATCAGGCGATTGCCCAGGGGCAATTAGACCTGGAAAAGGAATGCCTTAAATCCTATGAAACTTACTTAACAAGTACTGATGTTTGGGGTCAGAGCATAGAATGTGATCATTTTCCTAGGTTTCAGGGCCAAATGGGTGCCGCCCTGTCTACCAGACCCTGACCTGAGGCAAATCTCTGTGTTCCTTCCATTGTTATCAATGATCTCTGTTTTCTGTAAACATAGACTTTTGACATTGATTGATGAGCTTGCATGCATTCTGTATAACCCTGCGCATATCCTTCTCAATAAAAGCCACCTCAAGAGAAAGGCTCGGGGCATTCTCCACTAGAGGGAATCGCCACCCCCTTTTCCTGGCAGACAGAGTGTCTGGAATGACTTATTTCTTCATCTGCAGCGGCTGGGGGCACTGCGTGGGATGGGGTGCTCTTCTCAGAAATGAATTTTAAGGCTTCATATTTTTACAGAGCTTATTGAGTCACTGTATGTTTTTCCATTACAGACAATAAGTATTACAGGTGGATTTGATTATTTAACCTGCCCAAAATTTAACTAGATTTACTTTCTTGTATTCCAAATTAGGACTGAACCGCCCCCCCCCCCCCGCCCCGAATAGTTTCTGTGAGGAGTAATGATAAATGTCAACAGTAAACTGCTGTGTAATCTAAGTCTCACACAGGGCAGGTGAGTGGCTGTGGGCCCTGGGGAAGGTGAGACAGAACTGGCTCAAGGACAGACCACGTGGATGGCGAGGGGCTTGCTGCAGCGAGGCTGCCCTGCTGGGGCGGCACCTGGCCCCAGCTCTAGGGCCCCCTAAGCAGAAAACATTGACTCTAAATAAGTGAGTGGAGAAGCAGAGTGCAGATTTCTCTCTCCTTTTCTTTCTTTCTCCTTCCTTTATTTATTTTATTACTGGGAAAACATCCCGGCATCTTTACCTGCAGGAGAAGCTCTTGCAGCTGGGCCCGCTTCTGCTTTATCCGTTCTATCCGCCTCTGCTTCTCTATCTTTAAAACATAGGTTACAAAATAACATGAACATGTGTAGAGTATAAAGCTCATTTTCAGGTCCCGATGCTGAGATATCAAGAATTTTCTTTAGAGAAATGCAACCCATTTTAACTACCGACATCAGTAAAGGCAAATTACACCTCTTGGAGGCTGGGGCGAGGGTTTGGGTAAAAGAGCAGACAAGCAGCAGAACTGCCCACTGTTATCCGCAATGAAATCCATCTCCTTAGTGAATACATGGTATGTTTTACTCGTTGCTATTTATTACTTAATTTGTAACAGAGTAAGAACTAACACTTAGAAACACTTACTCTATGTGCCAGCACTCAAACTCAGCACTTGACACACATTATCTCAATTCATCTTCACAAAACCCTATGGGAGAGGTAAGTACCGCTGGTACCCATTTTTGCATGTAAGGAAATGCAGGCACAGAGAGTTAAGTAACTGCCCAAGGGCACACAGCTTAGTGCTTGGCACGACCCTGAGCCATCTGGTGCCAGAGACCCTAGTAGTAATTGCTTTGCTCTATTGCACCCCCGCCCCCACCAAGAATGAGGAAAGACTTCATTCAAGATCTCAATTTAACTGGCTTTTATTTTTACTTTACATTTTATTTATTTATTTAAACATTTAATTTATTTGCCTCCCCTCCCCCTATAGGGAACTACATGGCTGATGGCCAGGTGAAAGAATATACATAGTATGTGGGGCGTCTGAGACAAAGTCCTCCCTAAAATTTCCCCCCCTAATTTCTGTTCTCTTTAGTATGGTTATTTCTCATTAACTCAGTCAGTGCTAAGACTCTTTCCAGATGGTGCATAGGACCTTCTAATGCTTTCATACTTGCTCTGATCATACAGAGGTTGACTTTCAATCCTATTCTATCTTGTATCATATAGGTTTCACATGTATAAATATCACTTTCCTGATAAAAGAAATTATGCCAGGTTTCTCTCTCCTTCCTTCCTTTTCTCCTTTTATTTATTTTATTTTATTATTGAGGTAAAAGCGATGTATTTTAACTGATTTAAATAAGCACAGCTGCTACAACAAACAGCTTGCATGTTCAATATATAATACCTGCTTGTAGTAAGAAACATGTTTATGGGACAAACTGCCCAGCTTCAAAGGACTACTATTTTCCGTATTCTTATTATTAGGTCTGAATTTCCTTGCGGATGAGTTCCTAACTGTCTCTTTGGGAAAAGTCAGTGACGCCAGTTGAGACCTTTTCCTTGTCTACCCCAAGAGAATACTTCTCATTTGCTCCCCGCCCACTGTGGTCTGAGCCAGGAGTTCCCTCCCCCTGTCCCTGTAACCACCACCACACCTCATCCTAAATTCCTTCAGATTGACTGCAAATCTGCGTGGCTCTCCTCATCTGAAAGCATGTTGTAGGAGTTGCACCCTGTGCCCGAAGCTGGGACAGGCCAGGCCCCCACCGGCCCCTCTCGTCCCACATCCAGGTATTCGGGCTCTAGGACCCCGCCCCAACCTCACCGCCACGGCCTCACGCAGGGTCTCCAGTCGCCCCCTCCCCGGCCCTGCTCGTGCTCCTGCCAGTTCAACCCCAACCCCCCACTAGCAGAGTGACCCTTCAGAACACATCCGACCAGCCCTGCTCGTAGAGTCTTCAATAGCTTTTCCTAGCTGATAGGATAAGGTCCCGACTGCTTCGGACTTACTAATCCACCCCCTTTCTTTCTCCTCGCCTGTACTGCGGCCACACCGGCCGGGGGCACGCTGTCGCCTGCGGCCTCAGCCCAGGCCCGGGCAGGCCCCAGACTCCTGCTCCGCCCTCAGGACTGAGCTCCGGGACGTTCTGTTCTTGGTTAAGTCCTCCCTTGTCTCCCTTTCCAGTAAATCTGCACACACTTCTTTCACAGCAGTCATCACATTTTGGGTAATTCCTTTTACATTTCTCCTCTCAATTAGAATGAAAGCTCCTCAGAATCAGAAATTTTATCTTGTATAATCTTTGGTTACGCATATAACAGATGATAATAGATTTCTGTTATCAGCTTAATATTGCTGGTAATTAAAATGACCCTCAAATTCCACTCTATTAGAAGGAGAAAAGGAGGACATCACCACTGCAGCAAATACATAAAATTATTCTGTAACTTATGATAAATGTCTGGTTTCTCCCTCCAGTATAATGGTACCAGACGAGAAAAACATGAAGTCGAATTTATCTCCATAAGCTTTCTTTAACCTCAGTTTATCCCTTTTAGGGCATGACAGTAAATTATGTCAAATTTGTAAAACATATGCCAGGACACATGCTCATTTAGGAAGGATTTTCTATAATGATTAAAGTTAACAGAATAAAAGATGCTTTTGCACATATCATGTCCAAATTCATGCAACTGCCAAACACTCTATCCATTCTGACAAAGCTACAAGTGAAACACCATTCTGCTGCCACTGATTCTAGTCAAAGGCAAACATTTAAACATAAGAAATAGACAGCTGAATCCATTTTGTGGGGCCCATACAGCAAACATTACATTAAACAAGATATTATTTCTAGAACACAAATCACCAAAAATTTATTAGAGTGTTCGGAATTCAATTAGAATATAGATCTTCTCTAAGAAACAGTAAAAATCAAGTCATTTAATTTCTATGTCCCTCAGGTTCTTCAGGGTATCAGTCAGACTATATTATACATCTCTAAAGTTCCTTCCAGTTCTAAAACTCTACATAGAAGATCTATTTTTTAAAAATGACATAGTATACATAAATAATTAGAAATATTTTACTATTTTGTGACTGTATTTCTAAATTAAAATACCTCTGATGTAAAATAAAGCAGACTACTTTGTACGAACGGATTTTCCTCACTTACCTCCAGGTTCTGACACTCCTGAGCAGAATTGGTAGGCAGACCAATCCATTTGATTTCTTTTTTTTCCTTTGAAATGATGTTCATTGCCATTAGCACATTTAAAGCATCATAAACTCTTCGTCTAATGTTTTTCTGGTCATAAGCCTGCTAAAAAATATTTTTATTAAGTGATACAAGGGTTAAGATATAGTAACAAGACACTAAAATATTTAATAAATAGTATTATTATTATATTTTCAAAGTGCTGAAAGAATTCTATACCCAGTGTACACACTTATCCTTAAAATGTAAAGATGAACTAAAGATATTTTCAAGTAATCTAAAACATGAAACAGTCTCCTTGCTGGTGTAGTTCAGTGGACTGAGCGCAGGTCTGTGGACCAAAGGGTTGCTGGTTCAGTTTCCAGCCAGGGCACATGCCTGGGTTGTGGGCCAGACCCCCAGTAGGTGGCACACAAGAGACAACTACACATTGATGTTTCCCTCTCTTTCTCCTCCTCCTCCCCTCTCTCTAAAAATAAATAAAATCTTTTTAAAAGTTTCTAAAAAATAAAAATAGAACATAAAACAATCTAAAAAATAAAGATTATGTTACCAACAGATCTAAATTTAAAAAATACTAAAGGGCCTTCTTCAGGGAGAAGAAAGATGATCTAAGATGGAGTTTGGAAATGTAGAATGGAATGAAGACCAACTTAAAAGTTTAGCTATGTGGGGAAATCTCAATTGAAACCCTCTGTATAAAACAAGAACATCTTGTGGAGTCTAGAATATATATATAGCACTAACATACATGACAACAATAGCATATATATCAGAAAGGGGTAATGGAGTTAAAGTGGGCTAAGGCCTTGCATTGTCTGCAAGGATATTAGACTTTGAAAAGTCAAGAACACATGTTTTAAGCTCTAGGTAAACAGTGCATCTCAAAATGTGGTCCATGGACTAGTACTGATCAGTAAACTCTTACTAGCTTATAATGAAAATAGGAAATTTGCACCAAAATGTCATCACATAGATCACTAAAGCACACTGTTTAGTTCAGCTAACTTTTTGGGGTGGGGATAGTAAGACTTTCTCAATGAAGGAAACCGTGTTAACAGTGTAGAAAAAGCCCTTTATCTTATTGAGGATGGGTAGTTCCTAAGAACAAAATCCAATCAATCAAATCCTAATAAATGATAATAAAAGATAGTGGAGAACACTTAATCCATTTAAAGGTAGAACTAACAAAGTAAATGGGAGATTTAAGTTATAGAACTGAATGTAAACATCAGAAATCCTGACACTAGAAATGAGAATATAATTGCTTCTTGGCCTTTTGGCTAAGATCAAGTGTAGAAATGGTAAAAGGACAACAAATATCTGGAGGAGGCAACAAAGTAGGTCAGCTGATTCCTTCCTCTTTGATATTGGAAGGGGTATGGATTCAGGCAAATGAACCATTCAAAGCAGATGAACTAAGTAATAATAGAGCTTTTGGCCTAATATATTTATTTTAAATCATAAAACCAAATATGATAATATTCTTTTAACAACTACCACTTATATGCAATTTGAATCCTCTGGTAGAGGGGAAAGAAGGGAGATGGGAGTAAATATAAGCATAGTAACTTCTTTTTCCTTCTATAATCAACAGATAGTGGTCTACAGGTGATAACTCAAGAAACAAAATGTTGAAGTTACTTAAAGTTATAAATATAACCAATGCAAGAACTAAAGACTATAAACTTTCCAAATTATCAGAAAAATAACAGCAGTGAATAGACAGGAAAAAATCCAACTCTTGCTTATACCCAGGGGGTGGGGATGGGGGAGGTTAATATGTATGTTAGATGTTGAAAAGTGGTTAGAAGAAATGCCTTCTTGTAGTAACATCTGAGCAAAAATCAGATGGAGGGGAGAGAGAAACCACATGGATCTCTAGCAAAGAGTGCTCCAGGCAAAGGAAATAGCAAGTACAATGGCTGACAAAGACCATAACTGGCATATTCACAAAATGTGCAGTGACTGAGGGAGTGCATAGTAGGAGATGAGATCGGAGCAGTAGTACTGGGCACATAGGGTCTCGCAGATCACTTTGGGAACTATGGCTTTCACTCAGAATCAGAATACCCTATAGGTTTTTTCCAATTAAAAGAAAAAAAAATCACCCTATATAATGGCTCAGAAGGAAAATCTCAAAGCAATGAAAAAAATAGTTTATAGGTAATATAAGTAAAAATTTGTAACAACAAATCACCTAGAACTATCACCTAGAACTATAAGAACTCTTCCTAATATAACTCTTAGGTCAAAGAATAACATTATATCAGAATCAATGGGATCCAAAGCAGTTCAGAAGAGGAAAAGTCACAGCCATAAAGACTTTCGTTATTAAACAAAAATAATAAAAGTAAATAAAGTATACATCATTGCCTGCAGTGTAGAGAAACAACAAAGGTAATTACAGGAAAGAGAATATTAAATAAAGATAGAAACAGAAATCAACCCTGGCTGGTGTGGCTCAGTGGACTGGGCGCTGGCCTGAGAACTGAGAGATTGCCTGTTCCATTCCCTGTCAGGGCATGTGCCTGGGTTGCCAGCCTGGTCCACAGTTGGGGAAGAACAAGAGGCAACTGATTGATGTATCTCTAACACACCCATGTTTCTCTCCCTCTCTTTCTCCCTTCCTCTCTCTCTAAAAATAAATAAATGAAATCTTAAAAAAAAAAAAAATCGACTGCAAAACAGGAGGTCAGTACAAACAAATCCAAAAGATGGTTCTTTGGGAAACATAATTGCAAATAATTCTGAAAATAGGAAGAAAGAGAGGATTTTTCTTAAAAACAAAATACTAACTTAAGGGAAACAGGAATTCTAAACAGACAAACACCAAAGAAGGAATGGAGATACCTATCTAAACCCCCGCCCCAATCACCAGGCCTAGGTGGTACCATAGGTGATTTCTATAAAATTTCAGGGACCAGAAAGAGACATCCAATGCTAATTAACCTGTAACAGAATAAAGAGAAAGAAAAAAGGAAGCCTCTAAATTCCTATTATAAAGCTAGCGTAACACTACTAATCAAAACTATAAAGATGGTAAAAACAAAACAAACAAAACAAAAAACCTCACTATTCTAATTCATGACTATCAGTGTTAAAATTATAGTTTCATAAATTTTCAGGAAACTGTCCAGAATTTGATAAATTCAACAACAATTTCATATTTTTTAACTGAGAAAAATGTTCATTTTTAAAAAAGATTTTTAATCTCAAAGCAAAAGCTTTATTATAATTAAAGTTAAAATACTATATTTCCACTAAGATCAAGAGTTAAAAACTCAATATGACTAAAGTTATTGTTATTTAATATTGTTGTGGAGTATGCACAGTATCATTACATTTCAATAAAATGTAAACTGATCAATCATGATAAAAAGCAAGAACTGTTAGGAAATGATGAAAACAATCTGTATCCTGATTACTGCGGTTGTTCCATAGGTGTACACAACTTTCAAAACTCATCAAATTTTACAGCTGAATTCAATGCATCTTATTGTATGTAAACTATTCCACAATAAATAAGGAAAAAAACAATACTTTAATTGCATCCTTAAGACATGTACGTTTCCCTCCCTATATATAATTTTATCTCCATTAGAAAAAAAAATGGGTGATTTATATGTGGTTAAAAAAAAAATCTCCATGATATGTTGGAGAGAAGATAAAATTAAGAAATGCAGCATTTAAAGCACAATCACACTTGTGTTTAAAATAGAAAAGGAAATAAATTTTATCATGGTATATGCATAAACAATTTCTGGAACAAAACTCAAGAATCTGGGAATAGTGAATATTGCCTTTGGGGAGGTAGATTAGAGTCGGTGGTAGGAGTTATTTTTTATTAAATACTATTTGGTATAACTGAGTTTTTAATTAACATGTTCATGTATTAATTTTCAATTAGAAACAAGATAAAATTTTCGTCTTGACTTAGATAGAAGAAACACTAAAAGATTCAGAAATGTATCCAAACTCATTCAAATATAAAAAGTATGTTTAAAAAAGTATGTTGCTTCAGTAACTCCCAAAATTATATTTTAAAAATATTTGTTCATCTTTATACTGAAATATAATAAAAGAAATCTTTCCAAAACAAAACAGACAAAACAAAATTAACAACAACAAAAATTCCCAACAAACAACATGAAACCCGCAAGTAAGAACTTGGGGATTCCCCAGCTCGCCTGAGTTCTCAAATCAATGACACAGACACCCCAAGGAGGTACCCTGTTGCATTGCTCATCAAAGTCAATGTGAAGCGAGTGATCTACCTACCGAATCAGCTGACAAATGGTTATTTGAATTGGTGAACTCTGATACCAGCTCATCAGCTACTTCATTATATGATGTTGTACCTTTCCGCTGAACTTTCTCGCACACTTTCATTGAAAAATGTCTTAAGCCTTTTCCATTTTTATCTCCTTTTTTGCTTCGTTTACTAAAAGAGAAAAAAAAATTACACTCCATTTTAATTACTTAGCAACTTCCTTTACAAAACTATAAAATAATGAGTGAGAAGATAGCAATTTGATTTTTTACTTCAAGTGTAAGATTTAACTGAATTAGAGATGAGGACATGCTTTAAACTTAATTTTTACCTTAAAAGGCTAACAAAATATGAAGCTAGAGTGCTATTCTTATGCACATCATCTATTTCTGCAGCAAACATTTACTGACCAATTACTTACTATGAGGTGCCAGGCACTGTTCCACATCCTAGGAATAAATCCCTGAGAAGAAGAGATAAAAACTCTGCCCTGGAAGTTTATATACTGGTCAATGCTTATCTTTTTGTATGCTTATATTATAGTTCTTTTTCACCTAAAAGTACCACTATTCTCAGTTTCATTTATCTACTCAATTTTAAAACAGATGTTATTGGCATTAATAATAGATACCAGTCTTCAATTATTTCAAATTCGGTTAATGCCTAGGCCTAAACTTTGATAATGTAATCAGTAAAATTTTCAGGGGTTCGGTTTAGTTCTAATAAACTGAGTAGTTCTACTAATCTGGCTGCCAACTACATGCCAAGAACTGTATTAGTGGTTGGCAGTGCAGAAATGGTAATTGAGGCAAAATCCTTTCCCTCAACGAGCCATGGGGGAGGGGAGCGAGAAAAGAACAGGCAAATAATGACAAACAACCCAACGTAATAAGGTAAGTGTCCATCAGAGTTACACTGTCCTGTGGGAGCTGGGGAGAGGGGCATGCGGTCTAACCTGCAGGAGGAAGACTTGCTGGAGTGAGAGTCAAGTGCAAACAATCAGCAAAATGGAAAGGCAACCTATATAATAGGAGAAAATACTTGCAAACCCTTTATTTTATCTGATGAGGGATTAATATTCAAAATATCCAAGAAACTCCTACAGCTCAATAGAAAAACCACCACCAAATAACCCAACTGAACAGGCAAAGGACATGAATAGATATTTTTCCACAGAAACTTACAAATGGCCAACAGCCGGATGAAAAGATGCTCAACATTGCTAATCATCAGGAAAATGCAAATCAAAACCAGGCATTACCTTGCATCCATTAGGATGGCTATTTTACACACACATACACACATACATACATAATGGCAACGTGGAGAAATTAGAACCTTTGTACACTGTTTGTGGGAATGTAAAATGGTACAGCCACTATGGAAAACTCTATGGAGTTTCCCCAAACTGCCATATGATCTAGCAATCCCACTTCTGGGTAACTATTCAAAAGAACTGAAATCAGGATCTCAAGAAGGTTATTGGCACCCAATGTTTATGCAGCAGTACTTACAATAACCAAGATATGGAAATGACCTAAATGTCTTTAAGCAGGTAGATGAAGAAAATATGGTGTAAATACATGCTTACAATGGAATATTATTTAGCCTTAACAAAGAATGGAATCTTGCTGTATGCTACAACATAGATACACCTAGAGGACATTACACTACATAAAATAAGCCCGACACGAACGGACAAATAATGCATAATTCCACTTACAAGAGGTACCTAAAATAGTCAAACTCATAGAGGCAGAGAGTAGAATGGTGCTTGCTAGGGGCTAGAAGGAAAGGGGAAACGAGGAATTGTTGCTCAACAGGTATAAAGTTTCAGTTATGCTAGATGAGTAAGTTCTAGAGATCTGCTGCTGTACAACATAGTGTCTACAGTTAACAATAATGTACACATAAAAATTTGTTGTGGGAAGATTTTCATGTTAAGCGTTCTTACCAGAACAACACAAAAAGAGAGTTAGTCAAGGGACAGAAGTTAGGAAGGGTCCCCAAGCAGGAGAAGCGGCGGCGGTACATACATGGAAGAATGAAATAGGTGATAAATGTCGAGAGATATAAACAAACAGTTCAGCGTTATCGGACCATAAAGTTCAAGGCAAAAGATGAAACAGAAAGATAGATAAAGGGCCAGGCCCTTCATGACATGTAAAGAAACCTGGACTTGATCATATTCCACCAGTATAACTATATTCATTTATATAGTTTTTTACATGTTTTACTGTACTATATACATTAAGAATTAGACACTAAATGCACTTTTCAAAAGAATAAGATGAGGACAGACATCTGCTTTCTTTGACCCGTGTCCCCAAGCAATCACCCGTGCACTCGCTGCGGTCACGGGCTGCCACCGCCATGCTGTGGGAACCACTAAGTGGCAGTAAGCAGGGCGGCGCGGGGGGCGGGGGGGCGGGGGACGCGGCCACGGCGTAATTTTCAGTGAGGTGGAGATCCTGGCTCTAAAGTAGAAGATGGACTTGTGGGAAGCAGTAGCAGAGACAGGGAGACCAGCCGAGAGGCTACTGCTACAGCCCAGGCAAGAAACGAGGAGTCCTGAAAGTGGGGTAATTGGTAGGGTTGACTAAGATATGGGTTTGCAAACACTTTAAAGATAGAGATCAGTAGAACTGAGTGACTGACTGATGTGGATGGTAAGGAAGCGAGACACAGGAGAATGAGCCTCAGAAAGAGGGGTCATTTACTGAGATCAAGGAGATCGGAACAAGGTCGCGCGCTCCATTTTAAACCTCTCATTTGCACCGTCCAGTACCCTAGGCATGACCCACATGTAGCTATTGATCACTTGAAATGTGGGGAGTCTGTAAATGTAAAATACACACTGTATTTCAACGACTTGGATGAGAAATGAGTATAAAACATGTCATGAACAATTTTAATATTAATTTTATTCATTTATTTATTTTTATGAAGTCTTTCAAAAAAGTTATTGATTTGAGAGAGAGGGAGGGAGGAAGGGAGAGAGAAGCATCGATTTGTTGTTCCACTTGTTTATGCACTCATTGGTTGATTCCTGTATGTGCCCTGACCAGGGATCAAACCCGCAACCTTGGCATATGAAGGCGATGCTCTAACCAACTGATCTACCCGGCCAGAGCCAATGTTGAATATTTTAGGTAAAATGGATTACATAAAAGATATAAAATTAATTTCACATTTCTTTTTACTTTTTAAATTGGCTATTAGAGATTGAAATTGGTCATGAGAAGATTAAAAATTATAGGCAGCTTGCATTACATTTCTATTGAGCAACAATGATGTTGAGGTGGACACACCTATAAGCCATCCAAATATAAGAGATATATATGCAGCAGAAAACTGGATAGGTAAGTCTACAACTTATGGGAGAGATCACTCACAAACTTATCTGCCTGTGACCCACGCCATCCTCCTTCCCACCAGCCTCAGAGGGTTAGGTATCCCTCCTCCTTTTCAAATCTCTAGTTCTCTTTTTAAGAAAACAGCTCCATTGAAATATAATTCACATACCATAAATGTCACTTTTGTAAAGTATACAATTCAGTGGTTTTAAGAGTTATGGAACTATCACCACACTCTAATTTCTTCCCCTTAAAAAGAGACCCTGTACCCACTGGCAGTCACTCCTCACTACCTGAGCCCCGGGCGCCTCCCAGCCACTGCTTTCTCTGCTTCTATGGATTTGCCTATTCTTCCAAGTCAAATATTCCAATAGAAATGTTCACTCCAGTGTTTCTGTGTCTGTATTCTTTGTTCTCTTTGACTGTTCCATTCAGTGTTTTTTGATTTTGGGGTTCTTTTTAAATATACTTTATCATGGTACCTGAATCTGATCAGGGCTCCAGATCCACCTACCAGTTTAAAGGAAATACCGAGGACAGAAGAACATGCTGAACTACAGGACAGAGATGCAATACGCAAAGGGATTTCTCCTCAGGACACATAATGTGGTTTCTTCAAGTAATAAATCATAAGGGAAAAGGGGACAGAGGGAGACAGAAAGGAATAGAGAAGGGACATTTTGTAGATTATAAAAGACACATCAATTTACTATTTAAATCATGTTTCAAACAGACTGTACACACACACACACACACACCAGCTAATGGGGGAATCTAGGAAGATAGCAAGATAGCGGCATACTTTTTAAAATTCTCCAAATCCTAATAAAAACAGGGAGAGCAACTAGATAGCAAAACACAAACCCCATGACAACATTTACAACAAAACTGAATCACACGGTATCCTCAACAAACCTCAGAATACAATATCAAAAGGCCTACACAGAAGTGTCGGTGTGAGTAGAATAAGAAATCCTCAGTCGGGCTGCATTAAACAGGAATCAGAACAGGGTAATCCCAAAATAGCCAATAAGGATTTACTAGAAAGCACTGTAGGCCAATTTGAGAGGAGCAGTTGAATGGAGGAGTTGCACCCTCTTGAAGGTCAGGCAAGTGCAAAGGACACACACTAAAGACTAAAGCAGTTTTAACAATCTAGTTCGTTTAATTCCTACAATTAACATTCAAGAGAAAATGACAAATATTGAAGAGAGGCAAAGACTATACTGACAATAAGACTATCTGAAGAAGAAAATAAAAGCAAGGGAATAGAATAAATACTAAATGCTATAATTCAAGCAAATGTTTGTAAAATAAAAGGAAAAAAGGGCATATTAAACCAGAATGGCAAATACCAAACATTCTAGTAAAATTACTGAATTTCAAAGGAAAAGAATCCTTTAGAGATCTAACATTTTTCAACAGCAAGGTGTTATGCCAAAATAAATTAAATATATTTAAGAAATTGAATGAAAAAATGAGCCAAGGATTTTTGTACACAGCAAACTTACTTAACTCAAATATAAAAGGCACCGATGTAGGGATTACTAGTCCATGAGCACCTCCTGAGGAAACCACTGAAGAACAAGCCTCAGACAATCAAAATCACTAGAGAGACACGGATATAAGGCCTGGTGAGCATTAACTATACAGTAACCTGTAGATGTGAGACTAAATGAGTATATAAATGGTTATATGCTCTCACACTGTAAAGGAAGTATGACTATAAAAACGGGGAGAAAATGAAGAGAGCATATGCAAAATAATTTTTAAAGTTTTCAGTAATCACATTGATGGTATTATTTGGGACTGCTG